TCCTTTGTCTTAAGATGGTGCCTCATCGGCCCCAACCATCAGTGATGGTTGGGGCCGATGAGGAGATGGGGGATCATGCTGACCCCCCCTCCTCTTCTTTTGTTTGTGTAGGGTAGCTAGGAACGCGACCGATCCGCTGGATCGATCGCCCGTGTGGTATGTGAACGGCCATTAAACCCCTTTTTTCATTGGCCCTCTTCAGCCACCACCGTCAACGATGGTAGTGGCTGAAGAGGAGGAGGTGGCAAGGCTGACCCCCCCCTCTTTTTTCTGGTCTTTGTAGGGTAGCTGAGCCTCGAAACGTTCAGTTGATCGTTCCCGTGCAAGGTGAGTGAACGGCCGATGTAGTCGGCCGCTCGTTTTGTTTTTGGTTCTAGCCTTGCGGCCGGTAGTGGCTGCAGGGGAGGAGGTGCCAGCCAATAACTGACGCCCCCCCCCCTCCTCAATGTTGTTGTAGGGTAGATTACAAGTGAATCAAACATCCTGCTCCATCTTCAGAAACCCGCGCCCAAAAAAATGACCAGGAATGCCCGAAGGCGACTCCTCAATGCCAACCCGAGCCTCAAAAAGGGCCCCTTGGCCAATGGAAGCCCTGATCAGCTTGTTCGGCGCAAGGCCGGCAACCATCAGGGTGAAAGTTGGCCATGTGCGGTCCGTGCCTCATCCACTCAAAGCAAGGGCCCCTTGGCACATGGAAGCCCTGATTTGCTTGTTCGGCGCAAGGCCGGCAACCATCAGGGTGAAAGTGGGTCATGTGTGGTCGGTGCGTCAAGTGAGGATGATGAAAGTGAGGATGATGAGCCACTTTGGATTCGTAAGCCTGTCCCAAAAAGACTTCCGGATCACGGTATTCAAACATCAAAGCCCCGCAACCCTCCGCCTCAATATCCAACTGGTACTGCAAAGAAGATTGCTAGTCTCGAAAGAAAATTCGGCTCTACGGAGCATACATATTTCTTTCTCTGCTCCCCTTCTGAAGAAAAAGTATCCCACAAACCAATTCAATACTTGCCTAAAACAGATAAACCTTCCCGTCAAATCGCACTTTCTTCAGGCCTTGTACCTCACTTCATCCTAGAGTATCATTCCTTCCAAACATCTCCATCTACTCCAATATTCGACAAACTCTGTGATGTGATCCAAACACTCCATGCCATGGCCAGATATCGCCCACCTAACAAACGAAATACCAAACGACTCAATGGTGAAATGCATCTGATAGGATTCCGCCCAGGAAATGACGATGGCAAGTCTGGAGGTATGTCCGAATTACATTTTTTTCCCATTGATGCCCTAAGTAATCCCATATGCTATACTCATGATTATTCATTAATTATTGTCCTAGGTACTTATGTACGCAACAAACTCACCCCTGCTCAAACTGCCAAAGACGATGCAAACTGGGCCAAGCTTCAATCCCACAACGACTTCCTTGCTGGCAGGATGGAAGCTCTCTCTCGAACCGCCTTCCTGGAAAATCAAGCCCTGATGCAAGAATACGGAATCCCTAATTGGACTCAGGAGGAGTGGACTGAAATGAAGAATGAAGATCGTGAACACCTCAAATTTGCTGCCAATGTTTCCGTCACATATAACGATTTCTACAACCAAGCCCATCAAGATGAGAACGACTTAAATGGATGGACCTATGGTATATTTGCTTATATTGATAAGTCAACTGGGAGGCCCATTCCTCCTCCTTCCTCCGAATTAGGTCATGGATTTTTATTTCCAAGGCATGCTTATCTGATTGACTTTGTAAAATCTAATGGCATTGTTGAGCTTGTTTGGCAGACTACCAAGTTTGAACATTGTACAACTCCTCCTCCTCCTTCCCTTTCTTCTCAAAATGATCCAGAACGCCCCTGGACTCACCAAGGCTGTTCTTTTCAAATCAACAGGAGACTTGCCAATGTTGCTAAAAAATTAAAAGATGCTACTCCTGAAGAGATACATAAAAAGACTTTATGTAAATCCCAAAAATATCCATCCTGATTCCCTGATAGTTACCTTTTTCAATTAAAGTGTTCTTTATTTACCATCCCCCTTATCATGATGTCTTTTGTTTCATATGAATTCCATATTTTCAATTTTAAACATAAATTACCACTGCTTGATCATCCATCCCAAATTGAAATTGATTATTGAATACAAATAATCAATCAGATACTCGCATTCAAGACAATGCATCCAAGTAACTTATGTAACAAATTCAGAAATTATGTTATTTTGACTCAAAGGCATGAATAAGACCAAGAAACCATATTATTCATCAAAGGATGCGGCACGATGAGAGAAAGATTCAGAAGGGTCATTGGTAGGGTCTGAAAGCCAAGACGAGTCAAAAGAACGGATAGCTTCAAGAACAAGAGAGAACACCTCCCAAACGTTGTGAATGTCAACAACAGGTATTGTGAGATGCATCCCGGTTTCCAGCTCTTTGATTGCTTTGACAAACCATTTGGGAGACGTCTCCATTAATTCTGTCCCCTCCGGATAGAACGCCTGCTGTAAGGCCTCGGCAGCAGATATTGGCACTGGAATCAATCCTTGTTCGCCTCCGACCTCCGAGGGATATTGATAGCACCATTCTGCACTACATCGAGTTGGGAGCATGCTCTTCTTGTCCCATCGACGTTTGTAATTGTTATAGTTACTCGTCCATTGATCGAGACTTTCTTGCAGAAGTGGAACCCATAAGTAAATAAATAAAAGACTTTTGATGAATGCAATGTTAGTCAGTTTATTACCAAACCAGAGAAGCTGTGGATAAATAAACTTACTGCTCAACAGGATCTTGTGGATCATAGTACGATTCCTCCTCCGCCCGAAAGAGTTGGTTTATTAGCTCGCTGTTGTATTGCTTCATTAACTGCGACCATAGACACTCAATCTTCTGATTGTGGGTGCTCTTGGTGAACAGGTGTGACTGAATCGGATCTGGGCAGTCTGCATTGAACGATTCGGTGAGGTTGATCTGGTGGCCAGCCATGTGGATTGTTTCGGTTCCCCTGTCAGTAGATGTTCGGCGAGGTATGCCACCTTCACGTTTGACAAGCTCGAGATAGTAGTATCCAATGTGTCGGGGGTTGTTGTTGGTGACATGAACAAAGATTCCCAAAATTTTCCGGCTCCAAGCATCGATAAAACCATAGAGAGTGATCCCAAACTTCTTGAGTTTGTCGTGGCCATCGGCAGACCAAATGAAGTTCGGGCCGGGGGTGTTGAACACGCGACGCTTCAAAACCCTTTTTGATCGGTTATCAACACCTTCAGGATCAAGGGTACGGTTGATCAATGCAACTGTGAGACTTCATTCCAAACAAAGAAATATCAGAAATAATTCCACGGGATTATAATAACAGAGAAGACATAACACACTTATGAATGTTGAACCCATATTTCGTCTGTAACAATTGTCGCATCTTTCGGTAACCAACGTTCCGGCCTTCAGGGGTTTGATGAATTTCCTGAATGCAAGAGACAATCGTATCAATGTCAACCTTGTTGTTATCCAAATCGTCAGTTCGCCGTGTCAGGTTCATGGATTTGATCTTCCTTTCGAGCGTTCGAAAAGATTGAGTATAGTCGTGACTTGTTGTTAGAGCATGGTGGATTTGTGAATATGACAATCCTCGTTCAAAGTAGGTTTGGATGTGGTCTTCAAGCTGATTGGAATGTTCAGTGGCTTGAAGTATAAGTCCCCAATCTTCCTTCCTTCGTGTTAGTGTTCGTTTAGAGACGGATATGCCATGCGTGTCTTGAATATGTTTGCAGATTTCAGCGTCTGTCAGGCCAGATTCAACTGGAAGAGAAACCTCAGCCTCGAAATCGTCACCAAAAGATCGCATTGAGGCACGCATGATGGATGGTTGGTGTATGTAGTAATCTGGTGGGGTGGTGTTGAGTTGTTGGTGTGTGTCGAGTGGTTGGTGTGTGTCGAGTGGTTGGTGTGTGTCAAGTGGTTGGTGTGTGTCGAGTGGTTGGTGTGTGTCAAGTGGTTGGTCTGGTAGGGTCAGCAGTTAGTGAGAAGAGTGTTTCTTGAGCTCGGTTGCCAGCTGATTCATCGGTCAAAGAGCTGTGGTGTATGTGTTATGCGTTGAGGATGGTAGGTACTTTGGCTCCAGGGAGCTTATCACATAGTTTGTATGTATTGGAATGTTTGAGATGTATTGTCAGGGTGTATGACATACATGTCAGATCCACTTGGCCAACTTGGCGGTTGGAATCACTCATATTTGTTTGAAAATTGGGTTTTTCATTTTTCATTTTTTTTGGCCAAAGTGGCTGTTCAGTACCTCCATATCCACCAGACCAACCCTCCAATCAGGCACTGAAATTGAATTCAATTTCATCCTCAATCCAACTTCTTCAGCTCTCTAAACTTTTGATCATTGATTTTTCTCAATTTTTCATTTATAATCATTCTTTTCACATGCAATTGTGATGCTCCTGAATTTTTGAGCTAATTTGAAAAATGATTGAAAAATTTCGAAAAAATCAGAAAATGAGGAAAAATATAAAAAACAAATTACAAAACATTCTCCTATCCAATATGTCAGAATCATTCTTTAGAACTCATTTTAAACATTTTCACCAGGAAGCATAAATTCAAGTCCATTGGTTTGCCCTCTAGACTCCAATCAAAGGGTTCCATTTTTTCTGTCAAGGGGCTGTACATGTAGTCCTTAGAGCATCTCTAACGGTCCTGCTGATGCGGGACCTGGGACCAACTTCAGCAGGCCGCAAGCCTTTTTTGGCCTCTAGCAGCCATGCTGAGCAAGCTGCTGATGGCTCCGGGGGTGGACCAAAGCTGCCCTCGGCTGCTACTTTTGGCAGCTTTGGCATCCCATCCTCCAAGCTGCCATAGCTCCCTTTTTGTCCATCTGTCGTCCAATATCCCCTTTTTTTATGCACTTGCACTTCTCAATATCAACACAACAATACCACATATCCCAATACCATGCCCCCCCAAAAGGGTAGTCCTCAATCCAATCCTCATGGAAATCAACCAAACCACCCCAACCGCGAATACTCGTACGATGAGAACAGCTCATCCTGATCCCCATGCAACCCCCACTGGCTCCGTGCCCGCAAGAACTCCTTCGATGCCGAGTCAACCTGATCCCCATACAACCCCGGTTCCCCAACCAGCCCCTTCAACTGAAATACCCGATGAGACTGACAAAGCTCCTAAGAAGAAGGCTCCGAAGTGGTCAATCGAAGAAGATAAACAGCTTTGTGCTGCTTGGTTGAACACTAGCCAAGACAGTATCGTCGGGACCTGTCAGAAAGCTGGAACGTTTTGGGAACGGGTTCATCAGCTTTATACCAATCTGGTTGTCGATTAAAACAAGGAAAACAAAAACTCAAGAACGATCAAACCTTTGCCAATTCGACTCGTCAATGCGGTCGAATGTCGTTGGGGTCATATTATGAGAGTCTGCAACAAGTTTGGTGGATGCTATTCGCAAGTTGAACGTCAAATGAGGAGTGGGATGAGTCGAGATGATATCGTAAGCTTGGTGTTTTCATTTTATATAGGAATAACAGTACTTATTTCTTTGTTTCCTCTCAGCTTTGCAAGGCGAAGGAACTGTATAAATCCGAGAACAAGTCGAATTTCAATCTTGATCACTGCTGGGGCATTTTGAGAGAACACCCAAAATGGCAGGCAACCCAGCAAGAGATCGATCTCCGACAGAAAAAATCCAAAGAACCTCCAAGTAGCACCCCTGCAACCAATGAGGCTTTGCCCTCAAGTCCTCAAACAGGCACTCAACCAGATGAGGAAGACGATCGTAGTGCCCTAGGTTCTGACACGCGTATGGAGGGCAACAAAGCGGCCAAAAGGAAGCGAGACGAGGATGCAATGTTGCAGAAGATCATCAAGACACAGGAAGAGTTGGTCAAGATATCTAAGGAGCGCTCAGCATCCGTTCAAAAAGCATTGGAGGAGGCGTCGGAGGCAAAGAAGTTAGAGGCTGACAATCACATCATGGCAATGGATCTCACTGGCATGGATGATGAAGCAAAAGCATACTGGCAAAAGAAAAGGCGGGCTATTTTGGATTGACCAGAGTAGTAGTAGTTCTCGTTTGTTGTAGCTAACTTTGTCCGGAGTAGTTCATGTTTTAACTGTCTTCTTCTTGCCTGCTTTCTACACAATCTTTCTAGCCTCCTTTCTACACACCCTATACTGTCATCCTTTCAAGTCTTTTGCAATCCAAAAACACACAATGCGATGATATATCTTCTAATATTGATGGAATCCTTTTTTATCATATTGATGTGATGCTTTTTTCTCAGATCAATGTGATCATTCTTTTTCAGATCAATGTGATTCTCATTTCTCAGATTGATGTGAATCTTTTTTCTCAGAATAAAAAATGAAATAACAGATATTATTGAAACCTAGTGAGAAGTTTGAGAGAAAGCATTTTGAGAAGGTCGAGAGAAAACAAGATTGTTCATGCAACGGTGGGCCAGCTACGCTAACCGTAGTGACGCAGCGAAAAATCACTACAATGTAGTGTAGCGTTAGCACATTTTTCAATTTCTGCGCTAACGCTACGCACATGGGGGAAAAATTTGTGCTAACGTTTAGCGTAGCGTTAGCGTGATTCCCCCCATGTGCGCTAACGCTACGCGCACAGGGCGCAAAAAACCGCCCGCTATGCTGCATTACAGCCATTTTTAGCGGTTTTTGGGCGTTTTTTGCCGCTAAGAACGCTGTAGCGTAGCTGCGCCAGAGGTGCGCTAACACTACACCAAAATTTGGCTAGTGTTAGCGCCGCTACAAGTTAGCGTAGGGCAGCGGCAGTAGCGGCGCGCTAACACTACACAAAAAAAAAAAATGGTGCCGCTACGCTAACACTACATGGGCCTGTAGTGTAGCGCCCCACCGCTGGTTCATGTATAAGAAAGAAGATAAAGAAGGCAAACATGAGAGAAGGAACATTAAAAATAAATGATATGAAAATTAAGCCTCTGTTTCCTCCGATTCCAAATCGTCGCGACCTAACTTGCTCCAGAGGTGTTCAACAAGGTCTGCCTTCAATCGGTTATGAACATGAATGTCTCGGATTCCATGATAATGCAAGAGAAACGAGTCGAACTCGTCATTAGGTGAGTTATCTTGTGCAATTGTAGATTGAGTGCAAGCATTTTGATCGTAGTCGAAATCCTCTTCAAAATTGGAACCAGCCTCATCCTCCACCGTCATGTTGTGGAGAATGATCACCGTCTTCATAATGAGACATAGATCTGGGTGTTTCCATAAGCGGCCGGGGAAGCGGATGATAGCGTAGCGTGCTTGTAACACACCGAACGCGTGTTCAACATCTTTTCGATAAGCTTCCTGCATCTTTGCATAATGTCGATTTTTTTTCCTTGTGGATTTGAAATAGACTGCATGAGAGTCGCGTATTTTGGATAAATACCATTGGTGAGATAGTAGCCGATGTTGTATATGTTGCCATTCACTGTATACTGGAATGATGGGTTTACTCCATCTTGGCATTGCTGAAAAATCGGAGATCAATCCAGGACATTGATATCATTTAGAGTTCCAGGGAGGCCAAAAAACGCGTGCCAGATCCACAGATTGTGGGTTGCAACTGCTTCAAGAATTACTGTCGGCTCCTTTTCCTTGCCGCTGTACTGACCGTGGTCTGCAACGGGGCAATTCTTCCAACCCCAATGCATACAGTCCAGCGAGCCCATCATACCTGGAAATCCTCGCTTTTCAGAGACGGCAAGAATCTTCGCAATATTGTTTTTATTTGGGCTTTGAAGGTATTCCTCGGCATAGATTTTGACCAAAGCAGAGCAGAAGTGTTTGAGACTTTCCAGCGCAGTACTTTCACCTGTGTTGGAACAGAAGAATTATGAGTGAAAAGTCAGAGAAACAATATTTGAAAACAGTTGAAATACTGACTAATTCTCAGGTATTCGTCGATGGAATCAGTGCTGCATCTGTAAGCCAACAATCTAAATGCTGCTGTGATCTTCTGTGATGGCGAAAAACACAACCGACCAGCAGTGTCCCTTTTTTGAATAAAATAGTCATCCTCCTGGGAGACAGCCTCAACAATTTTAAGATAAAGCGGCCGTTGCATCCTGAAGCGTCGGCAAAATAAATAGTCTGGATAGGTTGGGTTTTCGGAAAAATAGTCGTTGTAGAGCATGTGATTGCCTTGAAGGCGGTGTGGTGTGCTGTGCCTGTTCCAATGCCAAAAGCATACAGAATAGGTGATAGTTACACACACTTATCATTCATTACAAGAGGAGGAACATTCATTACGTAGGACATACAACAACAGGATAAGGTATACATATGTAGACGTGGTACGTGCGTGGGTAGGTTATGTAATATGGGGTTTATTTATTGTGTAATTAGTGGATAAGAACATAAGACAGTTGATGAGGAGGGGAGGAGGGAAGGTAGGCCGGAGAGGCTTTTGACCCTGAAGATTGAACAAGGGA